TGTAGGATAAGCACTGTACTGCTGCTAACTGTAAGGTCGGCAGTTCAAATCTACCAGTTGCTCCTCAGAAACCCTCTACAGGGTCACCATGAGTCATAACCAACTTGACTGCACTTAACAACATTGTTGTGTGCTGTCTAGGAGGTCCCAACTCATAGGGACCTTTTATAAGGTTTCCAAAAGAAGTTGGTGGGTTTGAACTGCAAATCCTGTGGTTACCAGTCCAGTGGTTGCACTACATGCCACAACAAGGCTCAGACAAGTCTATAGGGGGCGCAATAACACTGGGAGATACTCACACCTCAGAAAAATCAACCATTTTAGATAAAAAGAGCAGCATTTACAAAAGGACAAAGTTCAGACAGGTTAGGAACGAGGACGAATGAAACAGAAAACATAGGAAGGAAGAAGAGTAAGAGATGCTTCATTGTGGGTACAGTAGTTAATAAGATGAAACAAAATGTGCATGAATTGTTGAATAGAAAACTAATCTGTCCTGTAAACCTTCACCCACTTCATAATAAAAAGTAAATACCTCCTGGAACAAATCTTTACAGTGAGGATCATTCCCACACCAGGGTTGACAGGGATGGGCAACTTAGACATTGGCTACCCAAAAAGGAGGGGGTGGCCTACAAAGGCAAGAAGTGACTGGCTTACAAGCTTTCAAGATGGAGTCTAGTTCAAGATGGGGAGGGGGAAGGTAGAATCTCCAGTGAATGGTTTCCAATCTGTCGGGACAGGGCTAATGAAAGGAGATGGGGATAATACTCTTGTGGTACAATAGTGAATAATTGCTATCAGGACTGACTGTGAGGGTTGGAAATGTAAAGGTGTACATTTTGCAGCAAAAGGAAGGGAGTGGTTGATTTTGCAGTTCAGGAGCAGAGGTCCGTGGGACCATCAAGGTAGAAGACCAGAGTGCAGGACCCTACCCAGAGAAACAGTGATGCCAAAGATGGAGGCAGAGATGATGACGTGGACAGATGGAGCGGCTGGGGACACTGGACTCAGGGAGGGAAAAGGACTGTGTGCTGACGGCCAAGGGGCAGGTCTGTAGGGTGTATCCTTTGGTTGTTTGATGATGCATGGAGGGAACTGTAGTCATTGCAAAGAAACAAAAAAACGATAGGATGAATGTAAAGCGGATGTTCTCCCATGTAAACCCACATAATTCACAATAAAAACTTGAAAAAAAAAAAAAGTAAATAGCTCCTGAATGTATCCATTTTCAGTTCATTGCCATTCTATGCTAGTGCATATATATGGTGGTGGTGGTTATGTGCTGTGGAGTTGGTTCCAACTCATAGCGACTCTGTGCAGGGTTTCTGAGACTAAATCTTTACAGGAGCAGAAAGCCTCATCTTTCTCCCGCGGAACAGCTGGTAATTTCGAACTGTTGATCTTGTGGTTTGCAGCCCGATTAATAACCACTACGCTACCAGAGCTCCTTATATATATGTTAGTCCATTACCATCATGTTCAAACAGACCAACCCAGGCACCTCCTAATAGTCCCTTTGCATCCATTCTTGCTCCGTCTAAAATCCACTGTCCATCTACCTTTCAAAAACAAGAATCTAATTACATCTTTCTATTTCAAATCTTTAATAAGCTTCCTATTACTTTTGAGATTTGAGGGAGAAAGATGAGGCTTTCTGCTCCTGTAAAGATTTATAGCCTTGGAAACCCTGTACAGGGTCACTATGAGTCGGAACTGACACCATGGCACATAACAACAACAGCAGCAACTTTTGAGATTAGAAATAAGATTCTTTAGTAAATAAAAGGCAGGTGGTCTTAAATAGGCCATCCATTGTTCCACTGCCTACCTTCACAGTTCATCTCTCATCAATCTTTTTATTTCAGTTGTTTGAGCATAATATGGGCCCTGCTACAAGCGTAGTGGTTACGAATCGGGCTGCGAACCTTAAGGTCAGCACTTCGAAACTACCAGCTGCTCCACGGGAGAAAGATGAGGCTTTCTGCTCCCGTAAAGATTTGCAGCCTCGAAAACCCTGTACAGGGACACTATGAGACGGAAATGACTCCACGGTACTTAACAACAACAACTTAACAAGAGTCCTGGTGTGTTGTCACAGGATATGCACTTGACCTCAAGGTTGGTCTGAACATCAAGGTCAGTGGTTCAAACTCACCAGCGGCTCCTTGGAAACCCTATACAGGGTCCCTATGAGTGGGAATGGCACTTAAGGAACAAACAGCACAGGGCCTTTGCAAATACTGTTTCTGCTGCCTGGAATGACACCACCTCCCCACCTACTACACCTACACCCATTTCTTTATGTTTCTTAGTGTTTATTCAACCTTCAGATATCAACTTAAAAAACACTCCCTCTACCTCAAAAGAGATGTTCTCACTCAGGTATACTTACCAACCACCATGTCAGTTTCTAAGTATATTTCCAAGTATAAATCTTCCTGATTTATGTTCAATGTCAGTCAATGTAAAAATACTTCAAGTTCAGAAATATTACCATAGAAAGCCTGTAAGTCCGTCTTCTTCCTA